ATCTTGCAGCACGATGACCCATCCAGCTCCTCCGTTTATCCCGCTCCCTCCAATGATCAATCGGTGTATACGTGTGTCCATTCGGGTTCTGGATAACAGTTGTAGACATGTTCAATGGTATTTGCATGCAGTACTAGGTCACATTCTTCAGTCTTTCTGTCTATGCCTGGAATTGTTGTTAGGCTGTATGTCTATGCTGTATGACTGGATCATTTCCCATGTTTAAGGATATTTATAAACACATTTTTGTGTGTTTTGTTGTACAATTTTGATAAATGGTGAAAACTTTGTCTTTTCAATCTGTTTATAGTTAATTTATTTGCTATTCTGTGCATGGGGTTGTTCGCGCGTTGAAATTTTTCTGTTAAGGTAAGCACCTTAAGGTAAGCTCTGGAAGCCAGAAGTTAACTCCAGCTCATGGATTGGCGTGCTTCTCATACCTCTAGGAGGTACATATTAATCATTGTATGCAAGGAGAGGAGTGAAAGGGCAGAATGCTAGACAGACCTACGTGCCCAATTCTTAACCCTTTGAAAATAAAGTTTGTTGATTCGTTCGTTCGTTCATTCTAGTAATGATTCTGAGACCAGTGTTCTGTCTTTTGTCCAGTCTATGTAGGTTTCATTTGGCTGCAGTGGAGTAAACTCTCATGCCATATTCCAGTTTAGGTCGTACGTATCCTGTGTATACTTGTCGTACAGTGTTGGCATCTGCACCCCAGCTTGTTCCAATAAGTTTCTTCATAAGTCTGAGCCTCAGGGTAGCTTTCCTTTGGATGTCTTCAATGTGGGCGCTCCAGGTTAGCATTTTGTTTAAATTTACTTCTAAATATGTGGGGCTTTCCTTTTTGGAAGGATGTTGCTTTCTATGTACAGATCAACTTGTTCTGGCTTTGTGGATAGAGAGAAGAACGTTTATATGGTTTTGATCTGGTTTATTGTGACTCCCAAAGAGTCTGTCCATTTCTTAACTGTATTTAAAGCTTTGTGTATTCTTGGTTTTTTTTTTTTTTTTTTCTTATTGTTCAGCTTAGGTCCATATGGCCAGGATGTAGGACCTTGCGAATATGAGTCGTGAACTGTTTTAGGAGGTCATTGATGAAAAAAATAAACAGGGTAGGAGATATAACACTTCTCTGGGGGACCCATTCTTGCAACCTGACCAGCTTGCTCTTGTGTTCTGCCAGTCTGACTTTTGCACAGCGTCTGTAAAGAAAGTCTCAAATGTGATTGTGTTCGAATTCAAATATACCACTGTATATTTAACCCTGAAAGCTTAATTCAAGGTAGTTCATCTTCTATATTCACCCTGAAAGACAACTGAAACATTGTGTTGTGGCTTACAGCTTGGCACAAAAGTGCTGACTAAAATAAATCAAGGGGCAGACCTGATGGGGTTAACATCATGCCTGTCGCATTTAATACCTAGGACTTTATCTAGGATCCATTTTGAGGCTGCGTCCATCTGGCAGCCAAGATCATTTATGAGAAAATTGGCGTCAATGCAAATTTGAACCAACGCCCTTAGGATCCGCATGCGAGGTGCAGCCGCTACACAACGGTGGTTTCTAGGCCAACATACACTTGTTTGCTCCTAAGAATCGGAAAATAGTAGAGTACTTCAATTTTAATTCACCCCATACAAAGGAATACCGGGAGTTCCTAGAAAAGTCAGGTTGGGGTTAATCGGTGTTTTTTTAGGCGGTCGGGGCTGACAAGGATCAGGTTCATTTTCGTACCAGGGCACGCAGGCGTTCTTTTACTATTGTCCCATAAAATTGTAGTTTCAGTGTTCATTTCAATCTTCATTTCAATCCGTAACAGACTTAGAATATTGTGCTTTCCCGGGAACTCCAGGATTTCCTTTGTTTAGGGTGAATTAAAATCGATGTTCCAGACTTAGTTAATTTATTGCAGATTTCGGGCAGAAAGTGTTGCACTAGCAGCTGAGTTATAATGGGATGGCAAAACTTAATAGCGCAAAAGAAAACGTTATGAAATGTATGCTATATTTCGAATAACGAAGAAACTAATCATGAATCTAGAACTCGCTGTGTCTTTACTTGACTCCAAATGTCCTTTATCCACCACTTTTCCAGTCGACACCTTGACATGATATTTTCAAAGACCCATCTTTCTTTTATTTCAGTAACAAGCTCGCTCCGAAAATGTAATTTCTCAAAACCGTCTGCATTACGTATATTATCCATCGATCGTTGTTTTTTTTTTTTTTTTTTTTCAACATCCTATTGCAGTCCCTGTCTCTCTAATCTCAACAACAGACGAGTATATCCATTCCTGTCACTGCGTGGAGCTGATAACTGCGAGATGTAGAAATAACCATGGCTTTTGTGTCTTTGAGTGAGTGTAAATGAGAAACCTGACTCTAAAACAGACTGCATGAATTTTTTTGCAGCTTGTATCGCCATCCATAAAATATAGACTTCATGCTGAATCTCTGTAATATAAGATTAACTCTTGAAGTCTAGGCTGATTATTTTCTTTTAAAAATAACTAAAGGATTGGCAATGAACTATTTTACAAAACGTAAGATTGTCTAGTTAAATCAGACTGCTATAATTGCAGGTTTTTTACCCGGGTCCTGTCAAGGGTACGCAACCAACTATATGATAATATGTAAACCATTGAAGAATTCATTTGCTTCCCTTTTTACGTGTAGTATGCCCGGCTCTCTAGCGTAGGTGGCTAAACCAGATTGCGCGGAGACGGGGTTACGAACTCCTTGTGGTCCGGGTTCAATCCCGTGGGTAGGCAGGAAAGCGACATTTTCTCCCAGATTCAGGGTATTTACAATGGAATCAAGGCCGAAAGGTTGCGATATCCATAATACCGAGCCTAAGGGTTAACAACTCATGGCTTCTGGATACTAAAACAACAAAACAAACGTGTAGTGTATGTAGAGCTAGTTCCATATTTTCTATAGTTATGACTCTCTAACCATCTTGGTGATGTAGTCACTACCATGCCGAATTATACATGCGTGACACCAAGAAAGGACCATTTTTCACGCCTTCATACGTACTGGGTATACAGGGCTAGACGGGGATGCACATGGATATGTAAATCTGATGCAATCTATCTACTGAAAGTACTGCCATGAAACTAATCCAGTGAGCCAGTCCATCTCTCTACTCAGTTACACTGGACCCACACTGCGTTAACAATCCTGTACGGTTTCGCAACGACCTCAGATCTAAGGAGCCAAAGAGACTTTTCTGACTGACTGACGGACTTTCTACCCCACCAGGACATCACACAAGCGATAAACACTCGATGACAAAAAGTGCTACCGTGTGGATGAGGATCGCCGTGGAGAGGTTCCAGAAACCGCGTTCAGACAATTGGTCATTTTAAGGCTTGCCTGTATTGCGGCCCCTGGCAAAAGCCAGGGTGGTGCTTCAAATAACAACAAATTTCGTCCTAAAAAGGACGTAAGGATATGTAGCAGAGACTTTTCTCAAGTCCCGGGTCTTTTATAACCCTCACAAACCACCTGACTCGCTGGCCACTTTAAGAGAGTTCCGGTTTCCAAAACTGCCAGTTTTAGTCCGCCGATTGCAGCCAACCCACAATTATTAACAGGCTAACAACCTACTCCTACCAGCCTGTGACAAGCACATTAAAAAGTACAGTTGGGAGTCTAAATGACGAACTAGTTAAGCCGTAGGAAAAGACAGACAGTTGAAATGAGTGTAAACTGTTTAGTAATCTGGTTGGAAGATCAGCATCGGTAGCAATTATTTAGAATACTGGGGTCAAAAACTAAGGAAAGAAAAACACGAACGCTATCTAGCAACAGACCAGGATTGTCCATTCTGTGGTGTCAGCGAATATGTCACACAACTCCCTTTTTTCCGCTTTAGGGGAGGGGAATGGGGAGGGGGGGGGGGGAATTACAATATTTGCATATTATAATAAATTCTTCAGTATTACTATTGAATATTACGAGGTCTATGGCAGATATTGGAAGATGAGGGGGGGGGGGGGAAGGGGGGGAGGGTGGGACAGGGGTTATTAAATTTTAGCAAATGAGAACAACTGACTTATTTCATTCATTTTCTGGGTAAGGAAACGATGATCTAAGTCTACCCATGGCCTCTTGTATTATTACAGAGAAGGCTCTTAGATTGGGTTCCCGAGCCAGTTTGTGTGTGTGTGGGGGGGGGGGGAACAAAAGTAAACCTACTGCCTCTCCAACAAACATGTCGTAAGAGTCGACCAACTGGGGGCGTCCTTTGAAGTCCGAGTCCATGTGCCTGAGAGTTAGGGAACCAGAAATTTGCATAGAAAAACGCTGAATCTTTAAAACGGACGTACGCGCAACACTCAGGTTCTGAAACAGGACAATAACTTTTTGCTGGCATTTACAGCTGGTGAATGCAAAGAAGAAAGAAGCTTGAGAAGGCCGTATACTCATGACCAGTGGCGCAGCAAGGTCTGGGGGCAACCGGTGCGGACAATTTCCAATCACGTCATGTCTCTTCCCACCCCTCTGTGGTCACACTAAAAGCCCTGGTGTCTGACTGACTGACTTTCTACCCCACCAGGACATCACACAAGCGATAAACACCCGATGACACAAAGTGCCACCACGTGGATGAGGATCGCCGTGGAGAGGTCCCAGAAACCGCGTTCAGACATTTGGCCATATGTATGGCCTGCCTATATTGCGGCCCCTGGCAGAAGCCAGAGTAGGGCTTCAAATGACAAAAAATTTCGTCCTAAAAAGGACGAAATTGAATGAGCCCTGGTGTGGTTCATGACCTATTTTATATGGAGAAGGCGTTGTGTGGTCTGTCTTCGCATGGCACAATCAAAGATGGCCGGCGGAAGTAACCTAGGAGGTCAAAGTTTATAGCGTAACGTTCAGGTCAATCACCTAGGAGGTCAACAATCATAGTGCAAAGGCCAGGTTCCTTCGTCTGCTGTTTTATTTGAAAAAAGCTTTCAGTTGAAAGTTTTGAAAAAAAATATTTCACGATGGAAATTCCATTTGAATTCGAGTCGAGGAGATCTGTTGTAGTTTGTAGAAATGGCTGCGTCGCATCCAGCAATCCTTTGGCTTCTCAAGTTGGGTTAGGTATATAATCAGGGTCGTAAAAATGTAATTTACCTGTCCGTTTGCCGTTTGGAAAGAATGAGAGGTGGCTGAGGAACGACTGTGTGAGAGTGAAAAGTTTGTTACAGAGGATGTTGTTTCCTCATGCAGAAAAGCGTATGCTGGTGAAATATTTATGTGCGAGAAGTTGAGAGCGAAACATGTGTGTACTGATTTGAGATTAGAAGATAAAACCACTGAAAAAAAATCTTGCGTTGGTTCAGCCTGCGATTGGGATTAGGACCGCGTCCTTAAATCACAAATTGATGGAAGCGCCTTGCACAGTATTGCACAGCTGCATTATAAATGAATTAATTGATTAAATAATATATAATCAGAATCTCTAATCTAATGTTCTGTCATTCACCTTCTCAAAATGCTGTAGGGCACAGTATAGGGCCTAGCTATATTTTTATTTTTGTTTTTTAATAATCAGAATCTTTAATCTGATGTACTATAGTTCAATGAACTGGTTCAAGTAACAATTGAAATATCATATAACTAACTTGTTATTATTTCAGTTTGTTTTATAAATTCAATTTGTATGATTACATTTTGAACATAGGTCATCACAGGTTACTGACAGGATATTTACCTACACATTACCTTTCTTAATGTTTAATGTTACCATAATATTTGTTTTCTCCAGTAGCCAACATCTTTTTCAATCTTCCAACACTGCTGTGTTCATGTTTTGTGTTCAAGGTTGAAATGTTTTGCTATACATTCCATAACAGTAACTTTAAGCTTTATAATCTTATATTGTACTCTAATCCAACATAGGCTAGTACTCTAATTAAGTGTTGTACTCCAGATTCCTTCTGGCTGAGTATTGTTATTTCATCCAGTTTGTGCTCCAGTATTGTTCTCTTATCCAGTATTGTACACCAATCCAGTTTTGTACTCCAGATTCTCTCTAATCCAGTCTTCAATTTTATCCAGTTTTGCACTCCATTTTCCATCTGATCCTTGGGTTTCAGAACCTGGGAGGCTAGGGTACCTTTACCCTCCCCCTCCTTATATTTTACTAGGAGGTGGGGCTTAAGGAACTTCAGCCTTGTTTAAGTATGCAAAAATAATACCTAGTATGTTAGTACTCTAATTAAGTGTTTTACTCCAGATTCCTTCTGGCTCAGTATTGTTCTTTTATCCAGTTTGTGCTGCAGTATTGTTCTCTTATCCAGTATTGTACACCAATCCAGTTTTGTACTCCAGATTCTCTCTAATCCAGTCTTTAATTTTATCCAGTTTTGCACTCCATATGCCATCTGATCCTTGGGTTTCAGAACCTGGGAGGCTAGGGTACCTTTACCATCTCCCCCTCCACATCTCTCGATAATTCTTAACAGCTGAGCCTCCCACCACTTAGAAAATTTGCTAAGGGGCTAAGTGCCCCCAACCCCCTCAGCCATCTATAGATGTTCTCCTCCCACCCTACCCCGTTGAAATATTGTATATATATATACATATATATATATATATATATATATATATATATATATATATATATATATACATACATACATACATACATACATACATACATACATACATACATACATACATACATATATATATATATATATATATATATATATATATATATATATATATATATATATATATATATATATATATATATATATATATATATATATATATATATATATATATATATATATATATATATATATATATATATATATACATATATATATATATATATACATATATATATATATATATGTATATATATATATATGTATATATATATATATATATATATATATATATATATATATATATATATATATATAGATATATATATATATATATATATATATATATATACATATATATATATATATATATATATATATTATATATATATATATATATATATATATATATATATATATATATATATATATATATATATATACACAATATTTCAACGGGGTAGGGTGGGAGGAGAACATCTATAGATGGCTGAGGGGGTATATATATATATATATGTATGTATGTATGTATGTATGTATGTATGTATGTATATATATATATATATATATATATATATATATATATATATATATATATATATATATATAGATATATATATATATATATGTATATATATATACAATATTTCAACATATATATCATATATATATCATATATCATATTAATTTAATGTATTGTTCTATTTATTTGCCATTCAGCACATAATAATAATTGCTCCTGTTATTATTTTTGCATACTTAAACAAGGCTGAAGTTGCCTAAGCCCCACCTCCTAATAAAATATAAGGAGACTGAGTAGCCCCATCCCCTTCCGCACCTTCCCTGTAACACCTGCTGTGAACTAACATTGTGCTTTAATGAAGGGTTGTACTTCACATTCTCTCTAATCCAGTAGTGTGCGCTTATCAAATATTGTACTCCAGATTCTCTGTAATCGAGAAGTGTGCACTTATTATCTGGTACTGTATTCCAGATTCTCTTCAATCCATTAGTGTGCACTTATTATCCAGTATTGTACTTCAAATTCTCTCTAATCTGGTAGTGTGCACTTTTTTGGTACTGTACTCCATATTCTCTTTAATCCAGTAGTGTGCACATATTATCCAGGATCGTACTCCACATTCTCTCTAATCCAGTTGTGTGCACTTATCATCAAGTATTGTACTCCAAATGCTCTCTAATCCAGTTGTGTGCACCTTTTTATCCAGTATTGTACTTAAGATTCTCTCTAATCCTGTTGTGTGCACTTATTATTCAGTATTATACTCCAGATTCTCTCTAATCTGGTTGTTTGCCCTTATTATCCAGTATTGTGCTTCAAATTCTGTCTAATCCAGTTGTAACTCAGTATTGTACTCTATTCTATTCTTTTATTATTAGACAAAGTTATAAGCCTGTACCAGGTTATAAACAAGATTTTAGAAGCTGCAGAACTGGGCCTTCATATTGGCTCTAATCAGCTGAATCCATAAATACTCAGTTGTGTTAAAGATGACTGAAGTGGTAAGACTATTTCACTATTCTCTAATGTTACTTCCCTACCATTAATCTTGTACTCTAACCCAGTGTGTTACTCTACTGTACACTAACGCAGTGCTGTACCCACTTCTAGTTATACACTGTACTCAAGAGTTTTTATTAAATCCCAGTATTGTTTTCTAAACCAATATTATACTCTAATCCAGTTTGATATTCTCATCCAGCAGTGCACACTATAGAGTGTTGTATCCAGAATATTACACTATTCCAGTGCTGTACTGAAATCCATTTTTATACTTTAATCTAATATTGTGCCCTGTTTTAATACACTATTCCTAATCATATACAGTACTTTAATCCAGTATTTTGCTGTAATATATTACTCTACTATAACCGAGGTGTAAATGTTAATCCATTGTTGATGCTGTTAAGCCAGGTGTTAGGGCAGTAGTGCATTGTTTTTAACTCTTCCTGCACTGAGAAACTGACTGTGCATTTACTGGGTTACACTTTGCATGATATGCATCACTTATCTTCTAATTAATTATCTAGCTGGTACATTAACTCATTCTATGCTAATCTCTATTTTAACTCATATTGTCTTTTAGTGCTATAATTTGGATCCACTGAACACTAGATATGTCTTACTTTATTTAACAATTTCTTAGGATATAATGAATTTAAGTTTTGCCTACCTGGTACCAAAGGACTTAATAGACTGCAATTCAGGATCCTCCATCAATAAGAAGGGAATAGAGAAAAAGAGACTAGTGAAAAAATTAATTATAATTTGGTTTGATTTTTTTTTTAACCGGCTGGAAAGTCCAACGGAAAATTCTGGTTGTTCATCCTCTTGTGGATTTAAGTCTTGTTCCAGATCCTAAGTGTTCTGTGCATTTACACAGAACTAGCTTATTTGTAAACACACTGTTGGCTCCTTGCCTTTTTAGGCAGATACACTCCAACTTCAAAGGAAGTTCCCATTAGTTGACTCTTACAACATGCTTCTAGGGAAGGCAGTGGGTCTATTCTTGTTTTCCACATGATAGGCCCCAAATACAACACTGAGAATAAATTAATAAAAAGTGCAGCAATTTTCAATAAACATAGTTTCAGGCAGTATGTATGCAGTATTAGCTGTCCCACAATAGTTGTAAGGTTTTACTGGTCTATGCACAAAGCTCTATCTCCAGTATAAGCTGTCCCACAATAGTTGTAAGGTTTTACTGGTCTATGCACAAAGCTCTATCTCCAGTATAAGCTGTCCCACAATAGTTGTAAGGTTTTACTGGTGTATGCACAAAGCTCTATCTCCAGTATAAGCTGTCCCACAATAGTTGTAAGGTTTTACTGGTCTATGCACAAAGCTCTATCTCCAGTATAAGCTCTCCCACAATAGTTGTAAGGTTTTACTTGTTCTATGCACAAAGATCTATTTCCAGTATAAGCTGTCCCACAATATTTTTACTTGTCATGCACCAAACCCCAAAACAAGCTCTATTTCCAGTATAAGCTGTCCCACAATAGTTGTAAGGTTTTACTTGTCTATGCACAAAGCTCTATTTCCAGTATAAGCTGTCCCACAATAGTTGTAAGGTTTTACTTGTCTATGCACAAAGCTCTATTTCCAGTATAAGCTGTCCCACAATAGTTGTAAGGTTTTACTTGTCTATGCACAAAGCTCTATTTCCAGTATATGCTGTCCCACAATAGTTGTAAGGTTTTACTTGTCTATGCACAAAGCTCTATCTCCAGTAAAAGCTGTCCCACAATAGTTGTAGGGTTTACTGGTCTATGGACAAAGCCCTATCTCCAGTATAAGCTGTCCCACAATAGTTGTAAGGTTTTACTGGTCTATGGACAAAGCCCTATCTCCAGTATAAGCTGTCCCACAATAGTTGTAAGGTTTACTGGTCTATGGACAAAGCCCTATCTCCAGTATAAGCTGTCCCACAATAGTTGTAAGGTTTTACTTGTCTATTTCATTATACTACCACTCCAGTCCTGTATCAAAAATGATATTAATTATACTACCGCTCCAGTATAAGCTGTTTCACAAAAGTTGTAAGGTTTTACTGGTCTATGCACAAAGCTCTTTCTCCAGTATAAGCTGTCCCACAATAGCTGTAAGGTTTTATTGCTGTATAGGTCCTTCGCTTGGCCTGCTGAAAATACTGTCTGTTGTAAATTCCTTACTCAGGTATTTCCATCTCCATTGTTATCTCAGAACTAGGCTATTAGTCCATGCACTACAAGTACCAATAATATTTCATATTTTAAAGAGTCCTGTTTACATACATACATTTGTATTGAGCATGTGGTGTTAGCTCCAAACTGCAAATCCAGTTTTCTTGTGTGCGTTTGGGGACCCAGATTTTTAAAAAAATTTTGTTTTCAAGGGCAAAAAGGGAGTGTGTGGGTGGGGTGAGGAAGTTGGGGAAGTGGGGGGGGGGGGGGGGGGGGCAATAGACACACCATCCCCTAACATGCATATCATAAAAGGTGAATAGTTAGGAGTTGCTGAAATCAGGTGTATTGGGCCAAAAGGCATAGATATTGATGTGTAGCTTTAGACCACAACACAACGTGTTAGATGCAATTTTAATGGGCAAACACAAATAATAATAAATCATTGGGCACTAAGTGAGTTATGGGGCCAGTATTATGACTGCTGTTTCTACTTCCCAGGACATTTTCTAATACCAATTTGTGAGAGTCTAGATAAATGTTTTTGAAACTCTGCCTTTACACTTTCAGTACCAAGGGAGAGCATCATAAATTGTTTTATAACTGAATTATCTGTCCTCTGGTGCAGACAGTGAATGGGAATTTGATCCACAGAACTCCAGTCATGTGTGCCAAACAGTGCTATTCATTAACATACCACTCCAGTCCTATCTGAAAAAAAAAAAATTATATTCATTATACTACCATTCCAGTCCTGTCTGCAGAAATGATATTCATTATACTACCACTCCAGTCCTGTATGAAGATATGATGTTCATTATACTACCACTCCAGTCCTGTATGCAAAAATGATATTCAATACACTACCACTCCAGTTCTGTATGAAGATATGATATTCATTAAACTACCACTCCAGTCCTGTATGCAAAAATGATATTCAATACACTACCACTCCAGTCCTGTATGCAAAAATGATATTCAATACACTACCACTCCAGTTCTGAATGCAAATATGATATTCTCTATACTACCACTCCAGTCTAGCATGCAAAAATGCTATTCCCTATACTACCACTCCAGTCTAGCAGGCAAAAATGCTATTCCCTATACTACCACTCCAGTCCTGTGTGCTAATTTTCCATTCACCATATTGTCAGTGCAGTCTTGTGTGCCAAAATTTCATTCACTATACTGTCATTGCAGTCCAGTGTGCAAAATTACCAATGACTATCCTGTCACTGCAGTCCTGTGTGCAAAAATACCATACACTATCATGTCACTGCAGTGGTGTGTGCAAAAATACCATTCAATATACTGTCACTGCAGTACTGTGTGCAAAAATACCATTCACTATCCTTCACTGCAGTCCGGTGTGCAAAAATACCATTCACTATCCTGTCACTGCAGTCCTGTGTGCAAAAATACCATTCACTATCCTGTCACTGCAGTCCTGTGTGTAAAAATACCATTCACTATCCTGTCACTGCAGTCCTGTGTGCAAAAATACCATTCACTATCCTGTCACTGCAGTCCTGTGTGCAAAAATACCATTCAATATACTGTCACTGCAGTCCTGGGTGCACAAATACCATTCACTATACTGTCACTGCAGTCCTGGGTGCAGAAATACCATTCACTATACTGTCACTGCAGTCCTGGGTGCACAAATACCATTCACTATACTGTCACTGCAGTCCTGTGTGCACAAATTTGAATCACTATACTGTCACTGCAGTCCTGGGTGCACAAATACCATTCACTATACTGTCACTGCAGTCCTGTGTGCACAAATACCATTCACTATACTGTCACTGCAGTCCAGTGTACACAAATACCATTCACTATACTGTCACTGCAGTCCAGTGTGCACAAATACCATTCACTATACTGTCACTCCAGTCCTGTGAGCAAAAATACCATTCACTATACTGTCAGTGCAGTCCTGTGTGTACAAATGATATTCTCTATACTGCCACTGATTCCAAAAAAATTATTATATCTGCTCAGCATCTTTGGCTCTGGCATTTATTTGCAAACATGCTTCACAATGCTGAGGCACCCAGTTCAATTCAAGCTGCGGGTAATTTGGCAGCAGACCACCTTGTGTAGATGTTGGTGGTGGTATTGAGAGCCCAATGTTTAGAAAGCAATGGCAAAAATACTGAATATAAAAATTGTCTAGTAAAATCAAACAACTAACAAAAACTGTAAAGGATACACAACTAACTTTAACTAAAACACAAAAAATAACAATATCTTGAGCTGACTACCCCAGTAGAATGCTTTTGAAACAGCTGTGATACAATCCCTTTGCTTTTTTATTTTAGATATTTTAAAGGCTGGTGGAAATGCAGCTGATGCTGCTGTTGCTGTAGCTGCTTCCCTGGCTGTGATGGAGCCAACATCAACTGGAATGGGTGGTGATGCTTTCTGTATGTTCTATAACGACTCCTCTAAGACAGTGAAAGGTCTCAATGGAAGGTATGGAAGTGTATGGATAGTTAACAATTATTAAATAAAAATATAATTTCCACACATTTCTTCTTCTAAGTGTTAACTAGCTGTCAACTCCAGTGAAAAGTTCGGGCTGTTTGTCCACTTATGGACTATGGTCTTGTCATCGGATGTGCTCTAACTGTTGTTTACTCTCCAGTTCATGTTCATAGAGTGTTTTAAGAATATGTTTGTCTCTTTAACTCTAGACTTCCAGTTGTGACATAATCTCATAAATGCTAATATATTGCCATATCTGCAGTATCCTGTTCTTAGAAAGCATAGTTAAATTCCACTGCTTCTATATGCATCTGCGGCGTCCGTGGCTTAGGCGTTGTGAGTCCGACTCGTAATTCCAACGCACGACGGTCAAAACCCACTGCTGGCTGTGTGGATTTTTATCTTGGTATGGGGCGTCGCAGGTCGACCCAGCCTAAAATGGGTACCAGGATGTATGTCCTGGGGAAGTAGAGACGGCTGGCATAATGCTGACCACATTACCCACCTAGAGCCCATAAACCTGATGCACCTTAAGGCATGAAAAGGGATTTTTACTCACTTTACTTTACTATATGCGTCTGTGTAGGTTTTAATATGCCAGGATATGAATGTAATAATTAAGAATAGCGTATATGGGTTCACTTCTTACCGCAATGGCTTTTTTAAAAGCCATGTTGATGTCACATTTTTCTGTAAACCTCAGTGTTAGAGGTCATGGGTTCACAGCATGAGTCAATATATAATGTGCTCTTTTTGGGACTAGCAGAATGTACGTCACTTAATGCTTATCTCTGTTCATGTTTATGGATTACCCTTTCAGATACCTTTATATAATTTGAAAATATTTTGAAAACATACTAAAAATATAGATAAATACATTTATTAGTGATTGTAGTATGGTGTTTAATTATTTTATTTTTGTAAAATAATTTTTCTTTGAATTCTGAACCATGAGGCCTTTTTTTTTAGCTTTCAGAGGGGTGAAACGGATTTAGCATTTAGGGGGTGAAATGGTTTTAACATTTAGGGGGTGAAATGGTTTTAGCATTTAGGGGGTGAAATGGTTTTAGCATTTAGGGGGTGAAACGGTTTTAGCATTTAGGGGGTGAAACGGTTTTAGCATTTAGGGGGTGAAACGGTTTTAGCATTTAGGGGGTGAAATGGTTTTAGCATTTAGGGGTTGAAACGGGCTTAGCATTTAGGGGGTGAAACGGTTTTAGCATTTAGGGGGTGAAACGGTTTTAGCATTTAGGGGTTGAAACGGGCTTAGCATTTAGGGGGTGAAACAGTTAAAGCACTCATGGCCTCTCAAATGAAATGGAGTATTTTAATTTTCAGTGGCAGATCCTCAGCAGCAGCAACCATTGACAGACTGAAAGCAGAAGGATATGATGAAAGCCACCATTACTCCCTGATACATGGACATTCTGTCACAGTCCCTGGGGCTCCGGCTGCATGGGTGGACACTGTCACACAGTTTGGGAGTGGACAGGTAGGGGAGGGAATCATCACACACACTTTAGCTGTTTCAGTATCAAAAGGTTTCACCCGGAAATCTTCATGTTTTAATTACAGAATCAGATGAAAGCCAAATACCCTTAACGCCTTCTTCTTCTTCTTCTTCTGCTTCTTCTTTTTCTTCTTCTTCTTCTTCTTCTTCTTCTTTGCATTCACTGTTTGTAGTAAATTTTGGTGGAAAGTTCTGGTTGTTTATCTGCTTCTGCACTCTAGTCCTGTTCCAGAACCTGACTGTTGCATACCCATCCATTTTACAGATCTGAGTCATTTGTTGTGCAGACTGTTGGTTTCTTGCCTCTCAGGCAGATGCACTCTGACTTCAAAGTTAGTCAATTCTTACAACATGCTTTTGAGTAGGCAGTGGATATATTCCTGTTTTCCCCACAACAGGGCCCTGAAACCCACCTAGGAACCCTTCTTTCAAACCAAAGTAGCTGTTACTTCAACTTTTTCTTCCCCACTGAGTTGTGCTTAAATCAATAAATAATTGTGTCTGAAGGAGCTCAGCCGAGACGCTAGAGAACAGAAGTTAATTGATGAAATTAGATGTGTTGGGCTGAAACCTGTAGATATCAGAGTCTAGCTGTAAACAACATAACAGAAAAAATGCTTTTAAAGAAAATGAAGATCAGATTTAAAAAGTAAAAGCTTTATGGTTTGATGTTAAGAAAACATTTATTTCGCTTCCTGGCTCTAAATGAGTTTAGGTAGTATGAGCTGAAACAAAATAATATTGAATTTATTTAATACTGTTATAATATTGTGTGCGTCAATTTGAATTTAATCAGTGATGCTTGTCTCAGACTTGTCACCTAGTCTTGTTTCAGGCTTTCAGCTAGTCTTTTTTCAGGCTTTCAGCTAGTCTTGTTTCAGGCTTTCAGCTAGTCTTGTTTCAGGCTTTCAGCTAGTCTTGTTTCAGGCTTTCAGCTAGTCTTGTTTCAGGCTTTCAGCTAGTCTTGTCTCAGGCTTTCAGCTAGTCTTGTCTCAGGCTTCAGCTTGTCTCAGGCTTTCAGCTAGTCTTGTTTCAGGCTTTCAGCTAGTCTCGTTTCAGGCTTTCAGCTAGGCTTGTTTCAGGCTTTCAGCTAGTCTAGTTTCAGGCTTTCAGCTAGTCTTGTTTCAGGCTTTCAGCTAGTCTTGTTTCAGGCTTCAGCTTATCTTGTTTCAGGCTTTCAGCTAGTCATGTTTCAGGCTTTCAGCTAGTCTTGTTTCAGGCTTTCAGCTAGTCTTGTTTCAGGCTTTCAGCTAGTCTTGTTTCAGGCTTTCAGCTAGTCTTGTTTCAGGCTTTCAACTAGTCTTGTCTCAGGCTTCAGCTAGTCTTGTTTCAGGCTTTCAGCTAGTCTTGTTTCTGGCTTTCAGCTAGTCTTGCTTCAGGCTTTCAGCTAGTCTTGTCTCAGGCTTTCAGCTAGTCTTGTCTCAGGCTTTCAGCTAGTCTTGTTTCAGGCTCTCAGCTAGTCTTGTCTCAGGCTTTCAGCTAGTCTTGTTTCAGGCTCTCAGCTAGTCTTGTTTCAGGCTTTCAGCTAGTCTTGTCTCAGGCTTTCAGCTAGTCTTGTTTCAGGCTTTCAGCTAGTCTTGTTTCAGGCTTCAGCTTGTCTCAGGCTTTCAGCTAGTCTTGTTTCAGGCTTCAGCTAGTCTTGTTTCAGGCTTTAGCTTGTTTCAGGCTTTCAGCTAGTCTTGTCTCATGCTTTCAGCTAGTCTTGTCTCAGGCTTCAGCTAGTCGTGTTTCAGGCTTTCAGCTAGTCTTGACTTAGGCTTCAACTAGTCTTGTTTCAGGCTTTCAGCTAGTCTTGTTTCAGGCTTCAGCTAGTCTTGTTTCAGGCTTCAGCTATTCTTGTTTTAGGCTTTAGCTTGTTTCAGGCTTCAGTAGTCTTGTTTCAGGCTTTCAGCTAGTCTTTTTTCAGGCTTTAGCTAGTCTTGTTTCAGGCTTCAGTTAGTCTTGTTTCAGGCTTCAGCTAGTCTTGTTTCAGGCTTTCAGCTAGTCTTGTTTCAGGCTTTCAGCTAGTCTTGTTTCAGGCTTTAGCTAGTCTTGTTTCAGGCTTTCAGCTAGTCTTTTTTCAGGCTTTAGCTAGTCTTGTTTCAGGCTTCAGCTAGTCTTGTTTCAGGCTTCAGCTAGTCTTGTTTCAGGCTTCAGCTAGTCTTGTTTCAGGCTTTAGCTAGTCTTGTTTCAGGCTTTCAGCTAGTCTTGTTTCAGGCTTTCAGTTAGTCTTGTTTCAGGCTTTCAGCTAGTCTTGTTTCAGGCTTTCAGCTAGTCTTGTTTCAGGCTTTAGCTAGTCTTGTTTCAGGCTTTCAGCTAGTCTTGTTTCAGGCTTTCAGCTAGTCTTGTTTCAGGCTTCAGCTAGTCTTGTTTCAGGCTTTCAGCTAGTCTTGTTTCAGGCTTCAGCTAGTCTTGTTTCAGGCTTTTAGCTAGTCTTTTTTTTTTTTAAGGCTTCAGCTAGTCTTCTTTCAGGCTTCAGTTAGGCTTGTTTGAGCCAGATAATTTGCAAAGTATTTTGAAAATGGCTAGTTTAATTGAGTTCATTATTACACCCTTAATATGATTTTGTTTCCTGAAATTCTGTAAACTTATGTTTCACAGCTTTCACTGTCTGAAATACTGAGACCAGCTACAGAGCTAGCAGAAGTGGGGTTTCCGGTTCAAGAACTGACTGCAGCATTTTGGGCACGAGGTACATACACAGTAGGATACAGTAGTATTCCTTTGCTGTGCATGTCACTTGGTTACTACACCAAAATTGTTTTGTCTTTTATATTTACAGTGTTTGACCAATTATTTTATAATGGGCATTTGTAGGGATATATGTTAATACATTTGTATACTTTAAGTTTTAAAAAAAAATCACAGTTGCCATGGCAATAGCCGCTGTCTTGGGAAAAAAATATTAAAAATATTTAAAATCCTAAAATTTCAAAAATAAATGATGGATTCATGAACTTTAATCCTATGTAGAGGTAGAGGTGTAGTTTATTTACTTTGAAGATGTTTCTAAATTTTTTTCATAGAATTTTAAAATGTAGGTTTGTTAAAAGGGTAAAAAAAAAAATGTAGCATTATAAGACAATAATCAAATTAAACAAAAAAAAAACTTTCTACAATCTACTTTTAAATAGACATGTCTCTAAAAATATTGTTTAAGGAGTATTCACATCAAATTTTATATTTCTAGTCTTTTTAAGCTGAGATTTTAGGATTTTATACACACAACAAACAGAAATATAGAGTTGTGAGAAAACTGACTTTTAAACTTTTTTTTTATTTTAAAATGGTGCATGGGGTGATGTCTTTAGTATTAACGGTTCACTGCTAAATTGTTTACAAATGACATAAATTGTGTGTGTAATTTATTCTACAAATGCCAAACTTTACAAAAATGAACACATTGAAAAAGTGATATTTTTGTCATAAATTGGAAAAAAATGTAGAATAGTAAACCTTTTAATGTTACTCATAGATTTACCAAAATCCAAATAACTTTCAGTCCCAAGGGGTTTAGCATCAGAAACTCAAGGGGTGGTAAAGAGAAACATATAATCAGCACGTCTTGCATTCACATGGCGGGGCTTCTTGGTAGGAAACTATGAACGTATTCTGTGTCATAAAGGACTGAAAGAGTTAAATGCTCAGATTTAGAAAAGTATATAGCATGTATTCTATTCCAGTAGTACGTTTTGTAATCAAGACTTAGATATTATTGATGATGTTTATTATTATCTGTTAAACTATGTGTGAACGGAATAATGTAAGTGAGGGTTGAAGCCAGAAAGGCAGAATGTAAAACAGGTCTGTTTGGCAGATTCTTAACCCTTTGAAAACAAAGTTTGTTTGTTCTTCCCACTGTTTCCAGAAGTGACGCCAGGTAATCTGTGTGTTGACATATAGCCAAACACACACAGAGAAGAGAAGTGCACATAGAAAGAAAAGCTAAATACACACAGAGATGAGAAAAACAGACCAAGGAATACACATAAAGGAGAGAACTAGGGATAAAAGAAAAGCAGAGAATACATACAGAGAAGAGAAATAGAGATAGAAGGAAAGCTAAATACACACAGAGAAAAGAAACAGAGATAAGCAGAAATGGAAAGTCCTGATTGCTGGTCAACTTTTGGATTTTAGTTTTGTTCCAGAACTTGAGATTTGCATGCACATCTGTTTTACGGATCTGGTTTATTTATAGGCAGACTGTTGGTTAATTGCCTCTCAGGAAGAATACTCCAACTTAGAAAAAAAATAGCCCTGATTAGTTGACTTGTGGGGGTCTATTCTTTAGGATTTACTTAGGATAAAAAAAGATAACAGACACAAGATAGTAAAAGCTACTTATGTTAAAAGTAGTTAACATATTCAAGAGCGAAACAGCTACCTAGAATAACAATATTTAAAACATTCAAGAGAGTAACCTCTACTTAGGATAAAAATAGTCAACACATTCAAGAGAATAACAGCTACTTAGGATAAAAATAGTCAACACATTCAAGAGAATAACAGCTACTAAGGATAAAAATAGTCAAAACAGTCTAGAGAGTAACAGCTACTTAGGATAAAAAAGAGTTAACATAACAGCTACATTATATATCTACATACATTACCCAGGGGTACCAGGTCTGCAAAGAAAAGACAATATTCATGGCTGTGACTTGTTATTGAATGGACAAGCTCCCCGTAATGGAGACATTATGAGAAATCCTCATTTGGCCAAAACTTTGAAGGTATGGTAAATTAGACATTCTCTAAATTATGTGTTCTTTCTTCTTCTTAGCATTAATTGACTTTATTCTCTTGTGGAAAGTTGTAATGGTTCATCCCCTGCTGGTTTTCTTGGTCTTGTTCCAGAACTTGAGTTTTTGTACACACCTGCTTCACAGATCTGCCTTATTTGTATGCAGACTATTGGTTCCTCACCTCTAAGGTAGATGCAGTATAACTTGGAAAGAAATACTCCCTGTTAGTCTCTTGTTTGGGTGGGGGTGGGGGGGGTGTGACAGTGAGTCAATTTTTTTAACCCCCAAAATCCAGTTAGGGAAGATTATCTGGTTGATAAGATGATTGTGGTTTGTGTGTGTGTGTGTGTGTGCACGCATGTGAGCTTGTGTGTGTGTGGGTGGGAGGTTGGGTGTGTGTGTGAAGATGTTATTTTGTCTGTGTAAAGTTGTTCTTTTATGTGTAAAGTTGTAAGTTTGTCTGTGTAGAGTTGTTATTTTGTCTGTGTAGAGTGTTATTTTGCCTGATTGTGGTACCCACCAGTGTGCCTAATTGTGGTACCCACCAAAGTGCCTGATTGTGGTTTGCGTGTGTGTGCACGCACGTGCATGTGAGCTAGCTTGTGTGTGTGGGTGGGAAGTTGGGTGTGTGTGTGAAGTTGTTTTTTTTGCCTGTGTAAATTTGTTTTGTCTGTGTAGAGTTGTTATTTTGTTTGTGTAGAGTGTTTTTTTGCCTGGGTAAAATTGTTACTTTGTTGCATAAAGATGTTATTTTGTCTGCTGAAAGCTGTTATGTTGTCTGCGTAAAGTTATTATTTTGTCTAGGTAATGTTTAGAGTTCTCGAACATGACATGACTGGAGAGTGATGGAGTGGGAAAAAACAAATTAAAGGACCTTCTTTGTGCCAATGGTGAATCAGACATATGATGCTTTGCATATTTTTTATAGACAAGCCGACAGTCGATGAGTAATAAAATCATGCTGGCCACTTTTACTTCTCAGGACTTTCCCTGGTACCCATTTTAGGTTTAGTCGACCCGTGAGCCAACATCTGTCTTGTAAAAATCTGATTGAATGTGGATTTGAACTAAGATAATAGAGGGAGCAGCAGAGAGAGAAAAAATGCAAGAGGGAGAGAGAGAGAGAGTGCCATAGAGGGAGAGAGAGTGCCATAGATGGAGAGAGAGAGAGAGTGCCATAGATGGAGAGAGAGAGAGAGTGCCATAGAGGGAGAGAGAGTGCCATAGATGGAGAGAGAGAGAGAGAGAGAGAGAGAGTGCCATAGATGAAGAGAGAGAGCCATAAAATGCAACAGTCCTACACTATTGGTGACAGAGGAGGAAGAGAAAAGAAAGATCTTCTGATCAGTGGAAAACTTAGGCCATTCCCTTGTCTAGCTAATAATGAAAAGCAAACTGGATACACAACAGGCAGGATCAATGAAGCCAATGAAGGAGGAGGATAGAATTCAGTTCTCTGTGAGTAGATTCTGGGGCCCCATTTGGGAGTAACAAAGAAATAAACCCACTGTTCCCAATAAGCATGTCAAGACTGGTGACTAATTAGAGTTTGCTCAGATCAGAAGTTTTAGGCAAAAAGAAGCTAACTTAAACCATGTGATAATGTGCCAACTATCCTTGTAAGGGTAAACACAGAAGAAGAAGAAGAAGAAGAAGAAGAAGAAGAAGAAGAAGAAGAAGAAGAAGAAGAAGAAGAAGAAGAAGAAGAAGAAGAAGAAGAAGAAGAAGAAGAAGAAGAAGAAGAAGAAGAAGAAGAAGAAGAAGAAAAAGAAGAAGAAGAAGAAAAAGAAGATGGAGAAGAAGAAGAAAAAGAAGAAGAAGAAGAAGAAGAAGAAGAAGAAGAAGAAGAAGAAGAAGAAGAAGAAGAAGAAGAAAAAGAAGAAGAAGAAGAAGAAGAAGAGGAAGAAGAAGAAGAAGAAATAGAAGAAGAAATAGAAGAAGAAGAAGAAGAAGAAGAAGAAAAGAAAGAAAGAATTAAGAAAACAGAAAGAAAGAGAAAGAAAGAGACAAAGAAGAATAATAAGAAGAAGAAAATGCAGTTCTCATTGCTGTTGTTGCTATCGATCCAGCGGCACATGACTTTTGCCCTCTTGCCCAATACCATGTAATGAAATTTACATGTTTTCACAAGCTGTTCTTTTCCTCCGTACAAGGTTTTTCCCTTGTCTGGTTTCAGAGGGGGTAGCATTCTTCTAGTCTCGCTGAGTATTGCACACTCAAAGAGATAATAGTCAACATTTTACATTTTTGTAGGTATAATTAGTTGGCACTCTGGGTAGTCTTGCAGCTGTATTCTGTTTAGCTGTCACTTACGTGCATGATATCACGCTGTCCAGTATTTTCTTTTTTGGTCTTCCAACTTTCCCGTTGTCAAAACATACTTGAGTTCTCCTCTTTGCCTAAAGAATATTCACTTGCTTGCTCTGATGTGGATAGTTAGTTCTCTTCATAAGCTAATCTTTTTCAAGACATCCTCATTTGACATTTAATCTCTCTATTGTTATGTTATGTTATCACAGTCAACATCACTGCCCATGAGGCATTCCCATGCATGCTCAATCCTCCAGTGGTGCAGCCACTCAAAGGTATCTCTACTAACTGCTCTGATAAGAAGTTTATTTTAGTGTCTTCTGCCTTTTCCTTAACTCTTTGAGTCCCAAGGAACGCATCATACGTTCATAGATTCCTACCTAAAGGCCCAATGAACGCATGATGCGCCGATTTTACATCTCTATTGACTACCCCTTGGGCCTCGGATGCTAAATCCCCTAGGACTCAAAGAGTTAAAGTCAGCATAGCCATGTTTTACCAAGATTTACTTCCAGGTCAAACAATCATGTTAGCGTCATAGCTTCGTAGTTTAATTTACTTACTTTGTCCATGTTTTAGATTCATGTTTCAGTTCACATCTCCTTTTACAAATGAAGGAACTTGCCATCCATGGAAAGAAAGGTTTCTACCAGGGCAGAATTGCCAAAGCAGTGGCAGATGTTGTGCATCAGCATGGTGGCTTGATCAGCTACGAGGACATGGTAGCACATGAATCTACATTTGACGAACCCATGAGTATAGATTACAAAGGCTGTCGCATCTGGGAGCTCCCTCCAAATGGCCAGGGAATAGCTGCATTATTGGCACTGAATATTTTGGAGGATATTGATTTGAAATGTAATTAAAATCATTATTCATTATAATATTTTAAGCAGTAATAAAAATTCATATAAGGCAACAAATGGGTGTGAGTTATGAACAATTTCACATTGTAATGAGGAAAATGAGAGCATCTAAACTTAAATCTTACAGTAAAATACCTTGAAAGAAAAACAAGAAAAAACAAAATTACCTGAAATTTTCCACAAACTGAACATTGAAGAAAACTGGCTTGGATATTTTCCATGAACAGGACATTGAAGAAAACTGGCTTGGATATTTTCCATGAACTGGACATTGAAGAAAACTGGCTTGGATATTTTCCATGAACTGGACATTGAAGAAAACTGGCTTGGATATTTTCCATGAACAGGACATTGAAGAAAACTGGCTTGGATATTTTCCAAGAACTGGACATTGAAGAAAACTGGCTTATAAACTGCATATTGTCTCTGAGTTTGAAATACTTCTACCTTTTAAATGCTACAGAATTTTAGAAATAACAGAAATGAAATTTCATTGTGCTGGAAAGAAGAGCTTGGGATTAATATAGGTGGACACAGGACTTTAAAGACATCTTGAGTATGTTAATGCACAAGACAGGGAAGCTGGCAATAGACAGAATGTCTAATTAGTAGTTTATAGCATGGGTTACATTCTGCAATGATCAGTTTATAAATAAAATATTATTTATATTTTTTTATCTTATTAGTTTAGAATAATATATATTGTACCCGGCCACGCGTTGCTGTGGCATAGTTTGGCTAAATGGAAAAGAGAGAAAATAGAAATCGCACGTGTCTAATAGGGTTACTGCCTCAATCATTGACTGCGCACATACAGAGATAGTCCATCGATGCCCTCGCTGCTAAATCGGTTCAGTAGTTTCTGAGTCTATAGCTCATAAACAAACACACAAACATTAATTTTTATATATAGAAGATATATATATATATATATATATATATATATATATATATATATATATATATATATATATATATATATATATATATATATATATATATATATATAATTCAATCAGTTGAGGGGATTTAGATACAGTATATATTGTGTCTCATAGAACCATATGGCTCCGGAGTTAGCCTTGAAAGACATGGCACATATTACATTATCCACTCAACAAAGTGTGGGTCCAGTGCCATATTCTCACAATGACAAGGAAAACATTGTACAAATTAATGGATTACTGTTTTAAAAATCAACTGCATAGAAATGTATTAGTTACTGATTTAAAAATCAACAGTATTGCAGACCGGGCATACTCATAGATTCTCTGTCTCCAGCAGCAAATGTCATAAGGTCTTAGATGCTAACTGTTTTCATAGCAACTGAGTATACACACGTCATTCTATTCCTCTCATACATCAATCCTTTCTGGTCCCGCTTCTGATTCCATGTTCACATATATTATTTTATTCAATTTTGTATCATAAATTAGAATTCCTTCAAAAGCAATCTTCAGCACATCTCCTTTGTCCAGTTCAAGTGTTTCTATTGCATTGAATCTGTAGCCAGAAGATCTGCTCTTTCATTCCCTCACCCTCCTGCATTTTGTATACAGCATACCCAAGTGAGTCCCTGTATGATGACGTACTGATGTTTGGTATCTACTCATGCCACATTTGTTTATTTGTAACCTTCTGCAGTACTAATATTTTGTTGAAGTTAAAAAGGAACACTGATGACATGAGGACTTTTTGTTATTTTCACACAATTTTCAGCCATGGGGCACAACTCTGCAGAATACCTTCACCATTTGATAGAAAGTCTTCGGCTGGCATTTGCTGATACAATGGAGTATTGTGCTGATCCACGTCTGGTTGATATTCCCATCAGCAGACTTCTTTCTAAGGATTATGCGGCTAAACAAAGGCAGCGTATTTCAACTGACAGGTGGGAAATCAATAATTTCACAATGTGTATCATAAAATTTGAACTGTTCATTATTTTTCTTACAGTCTGTGCTGAGAGTCTGCATTACATAATTAGTAACCCAACGTCCCAATGTCAGACACAATTTGTTGTTGTTTTAAAGCCCCACTCTGGTTGTTGCTGGAACTCTTAATATAACCCAGCCTATGGGTTGAACGGGGTTTTTGGGACCTGTCCCCTGGTGATACTCATCTGAATAGTGGCACCTTATATCACCAGGTGTTTATCGCTTGGTAGAATGTTCTGGTTGTGTTGAACGTCGTCATGATCATCTGCTATACAATCCCCATCCCAGTGTGAGTCAGAATGTTACTGACATTTTTAAGCCACACCCCGGCTGTCATGGGGGCCCTAATTATAACCTACATGTTGAACCAGGTTTCTGGGACTTGTGCACAGGTGATTCTTGTCCTAGTGGTGGCACTTTATGTCACCAGGTGTTTATTGCTTAGCGTGCTGTCCTGGTGGAGTTGAACATCAGTCAGTCAATTAGTCAGTCAGTCAGTCAGGCTGCTAAAATTCAACACAGACTATGACTAGAAAGCTTACTGGAAGGAATAGAAAAGACACACACAAATACAACCAAATGTTTTGACCAAAGTCTTTGTCAACAGGTTACTAAATACAACACAGACTGTAGCTAGAAAACTCAGCGGACAAGACCACAGAGATTATAAATAGCTGAGGGCAACATGAAACCAGAAATACATAATAGGAGAAAATATTGATGGACATGTAAGACTATATTACACAACGAAACAAATAAATAGATGTCTGAGGGGGAAGGGGGGGGGGGGGGGACACATAGGGAGAATTATAAACAATTAATTTTTTTAAAATATTTAAACACAAGTGTGCTGAATATTAAACCCTGCAAGACTCTTTAAGCTTTATAAAAAATGTACAATGAGAATGCTTTGTAAAATAAAATAAAAACACAAACAATAAGAGTGGTCAGTACACAAATATGAACCAAATTTTTGTTTAAAATAAGGAGCAGTATTATTTTACAGTTGTTTCTTCACACTGCAGTTTTAAATAACTTTTCCATTGTCATAAGTGATTAGTGTTTAGTAAGGATTATTATCACAGCACTCCTGACAGCTCCACATGTGCTCCAGTCTCCTTCTCAAAAGCTCTACATGTGTAAAATGACTGATGACACCTGTTCTCCATTGGGTAATGGAACAATGTTCCTTTCTTGGAGCTCTGGGCTGCACCCCCATGTCCATCAGTCTAGATATGGAAATGGTATCATGCTCTTTGGCATGCTCATCGTCATGGTAAATGCTGCACATGGCATTGATAACATCTTTTTTGTCCAGTACTGGACCAGCCATAGCAACCGCAGTGTCAGCAAGAAAATCAACATGCTCATTCCCTTGAATGCCTGCATGACCTGGAACAAAGATGAAGGTTAGGGAAGCTATTTGCGAAGTGCTTAGTGTTGCAATCCATTATTGCCTGATAAAACCAGTTTAGATTTTTTAAAGCATATTCATCGAGTCACTAATTTTGTACGTGTATGTGAACTCTTGAGTACCAAGCCATGCTGATGCCTTTGTTACAGCCATAGTTTCCATTGTAAGGCTACAAGTTGTTATGAAGTGCTTCAATTAAATTTTTCTCACTCTTAAAGTATTTACATTTTCTTTCTGTTTCTTCATTTTAGGTTAACTCCTCTACTCCTCTTCCTACATTACTTCCTTTCTTCCTTCCTTTCTTCTTCTGTCTGTCTAGAGGTTTTGTGCTCAAATCCAAACCAGATTGATTTTTACTGAAAATTTAACCTTGGAATTGTGAAGAAGTAACTGCAACTGGCATGATGTTGAATACATCACTCATCAGATGCCTGATGTGCCACTGCCGTGAAAAGGTCCTTCGATTTACTGTGTAAAAAGTTTTACTTGGTGTTTAATTTATTTAATTGTTCGACATTTTATTTTAATTTTTCTCTCTTGTAGTGGATTTCTCTGCATTAGGCTGGTTTCACTATGTCCTATAAATTGAATGTGCCTAAATTGTATTTTCCTTTTCCTTATGGCTTTAATGAGTTGCCTTATAAAATCTGTAGCTGTTTATGCTTCATTGTTCTTCTTTGTTCTAGTATTCTGAAGACTTTTCAAGACCTATACCTTCCCTGCCTTCAGTGTCTTGACCATCTAATTACACACTGTCCAGCGGTGAGATCCATAAGAAGATCAGGAAACATGCGGTCACTTGCCGTTGTGCACCAGGACTCAGACTGGTCAGAACCAACCTACACCTGTCCATGGTCACCCAAGAAAACGGTTCCTTCCCGGGTGCCTGGCAATTGTATATAGGTTTTATCTCCATTTAAATGGATCATATCTGTCAGAGAGGATAAGAGTGAACTGTGTGGCACAATAACTAAGATTGGTGAAATGGCTGTGCATGCAACACCCAAGACCTGGAACAAGACTAGAGTCCTGATATGGAGAACAAACCAGGTCTTTCCTGCAGGAGTTTGGAGCCAGCGAACACTTACGTTCAACAACAAAGACACATTCATCATCATCATCAATTTCCATTTCTACCATTAAGTGTTTTGAGGAGGACCAGTTTGTGATCCATTGCTAGATGGGCAACAATAGCTATTGTCATTCCATATTGATGCCATCAGTCTATATTTCTAGAGTGACCTCTTGCTTTCACATCAGATCTTTTCAGGTGTAGCGCTAATCTTGGTAGTTGTTCTGGCTGCATTCTTACTAGTGGACCAAACCATCTGATCCTCCGTTTCTTAATGAATTTGCTGCATGGTGTTGTTCCTACAGTCTGTCTGATAATATCATTTCTAACATTGTCTTGGATGTCTAATTTGGCGAGATTTCTTAGGCATTTTATTTCACAGGTGTTAATTATACATAGGTTAGTCTTTGATAATGCATGGCACTGGTAGCACAGTGTTGGTATGAATATGCTGTTCATAAGCTTTTTTATGCTGATTTGTGGGTGTCTTAATAATGGTGACAGATGATATATAAGTGCACTGGCTTGTTGGCCGATCTATTCTCTCATCCTCTGAGAATATACTTCCTAGATATTCAAATTTGTTAACTTGCTTCAGATAAATACCATTCAACCTTTTATGTAACAGGCCATAAATTCAGTTGACCTGCATTGTTTTATTCTTATCCGTATTTACTGTCATGTTATAACTTCTGCATGATGAGCTCACACATTCACAGATTAGTAAAATAATTAGTGTCAAATCATACTGCTTACAGAGTCATACCAGCTTCAAGCCTGCGTACAAGTGGTCTTGACATTCCTGTGGGAAATGATACTGTTTATTTCACAACAGCTGACAAGGATGGAAATGCTTGCTCCTTTATCAACAGTAATTTCATTGGCTTTGGGACTGCCATAGTGCCAGAGGGATGTGGGTTTAGCTTGCAGGTACAATTATTAGGCATTAGGCAATTTCTTAGGTTTCATTCCTTGGTAGGGTTTATTTTTTTTTTTCCTCGACAAAGTTGAATTTCCAACCTGACCAGTCTGTGGTGTTGGCATCTGTGGCTTAGGTATTGTGAAAATGTGCTTCCTAATGCTGGGGTGTCGGGTTTGATCCCAGCTGCAGACGATTTGTCTTGCGTTGGTTTCCACTGTGGTACTGAGAGCTGACCGCACAGAAAGTACTGGCGAACTACTGAACATAAAATTTGCCTAGAAAAACACAATAGCCAAAAAAGATGCTGGGGGTTTGGTTCTGCAATGTCCTGTAAAGGATACACAACTAACAGTCTATGGTGACTGCACACAGCTCTAAATCCTGAGTCTCAAAGACCGCTGCTTCTTAGACAACAAAAATGGTAAACACAGGCAGTGATGGTGGTTCCTTTTAAATGGTAGATGTTGTTTTGTTTATATGGCATTCCATCATCTTGGATTTACTTCTAAATTTATTCTGGGCTGCATGGATGACAGAACTTCTTAACTCTTTGAGTCCCAGGGGGTTTAGCAATACAGGCCCAGACTGTAGTAAATAGAGTTCATTGGGCTTCTAGGTAGGAACCTTTGAACGTATGATGCGTTCCTTGGGACTCAATGAGTTAATTTACTTGAGCTCATATCCTCTTAATTTACTTGAGCTCATATCTTATTATTTTGCTTGTGCTCATATCTTGTTAATTTACCTGAGCTCATATCCTAATAATTAATCATATAAATTAATCTAATTAATTTGTTTGAGCTTAAATCTTCTTAATTTTCTTGAGCTCATATATTTTTAATTTACTTAAACTCATATCTTTTTAATTTGCTTGAGCTTTTATCTTATTAATTTACTTGAACTCATATCTTTTTAATTTGCTTCAGTTCATATATTATTAATTTGCTTGAGCTCATATCTATTTAATTTACTTGAGTTCATATTTTTTTAATTTACCTGAGTTCATATCTTCTTTGTGGCATCCGTGGCTTAGGCGTTGTGAGTCTGACTCGTAATTCCAACGTACGGCAATCAAAACACACTGCTGGCTGCGTGGATTTTTATCATGGTATAGGGCGTCGGAGGTCGACCCAAATGGGTACCAGGATGTATTTCCTGGGAAAGAAAAGATGGCCGGCGTAATGCCGACCACATAACCCACCTAGTGCCGATTGGTCTGTAAAAATATGGGTGCTCTTCCCATATGCCCAATGCCTCTAAGGGGTAAAAATGGATCTATACTATATACATATAGTCTTTATTTGCTTTAGCTCATATCTTCAACTAAAACACTGTTTATTTTTACAGTGTCGAGGTCATGGCTTTTCCTTAAACACTAACCATAGGAACGTGCTGGCACCAAGAAAGCGACCATTCCATACTATCATCCCATCCATGGTCACGACTGCAGACACAAGTAAGATGATTTTTTAAAAACTTCTATAATGTGTGTAATATTGTGTACATAGTAATTATAAAAATAATCTGTCTTCTTCTTTTTTTGTCTAGTTTGGAGTCGTCCAGGAATATGATTGTTCAGTTTTTGTCATTCAGTAGTTTCATTTAAAATAGTACTGAAAGAGATTAAATGTCTAGAAATTATCAGACTAGAACATAAATCATTCATAAAATTCATTAAAGATGGCATAATTTCTGACAAGAATGCTCTGGTACCAAAGGCCACAAAGAGCTCCACTGTAGAAATATAATGATCACAGAGCATGATGGGAAAGGCCAGGCAAAACCTGGAATGGTGGCAGCAAGTAAAACCTTAAGGAAACAAAGTTTATAGCTTACACAGTGCATTGGATGATCCTTACTTCTTCCCCCACCAATTCACCCAGGTAAATAAAGGAAGAAATATTTAGGAGATGGTTTGATGAAGTTTGTGTTGTTCAGATTATCTTTAAAGAAGTTTCCCCTAAAGATACAATCAAGGAGAATAAGCAACTATTACACTCTAAAAGAATAATGAATCAGTAATTAAAATTGTCTTATTATTTATAGTAATAGTACAATTTCTATCATAATCACAACCTTAATCAAAGTTGTATCTGAAACAGTACAATTTACATATCTGTCATATAAATAATTACATGAAATATAAATAATAAATATATACTCTGAGAACTTGATTAACCCTTTATATCCTAATTATAACCCTGAGGGTTGAACAGGATATGTTTGAAATATTACTTCTACTATTTATATTATTATTTCTTGCCAAGCTGTTTTAGTTATCGACATCCATCTGTTCCATTAGATTTTGTATTTGGTCAGAGCATTTGAAAGAAGCTCTACTGTCCAAGTGGCCAGATAAGAAAGAGACAGATGAAATATTTTGGCCACATTAAAAGACACGAAACACTTTGTGAACTCTTAAGTCCCAGATAGTTGTTGTTTAAACATCTTTCTATCCTTAAGTGTGTATACTTTAGAGTAACATTCTTAGTTTTATGGGATGGAAATACTATACTTAACAAGACAGAATGAGTTAACAAAGCAGTTATGATAGAATCAATTAAAGCAACATAATCAGGTGAATCAGGGAATCACAGTTCCAGCTTAAGAGCAGTCGTGTCACCCTACAGTTGCTCTGTTCCTATGCCAAGGGAGACCACACAGAATATCCTCCACTGAACATAAAAAATGTTTACACAGTCTGCAGTCTTCGCAAATTCTACACCTTACAGATGTATTAAATGCATAAGGCAGCAGTCAGAAGTGCCAACACAAACAGTCCAACACTAGAGATGCAGTTCAGCGTCTATGGAAGCACACTCACAACAGATTAGTATTTGCCCATGCAACTAATCACATAAGCCACGATAAGTTCTCTGGCAGTAGGTCAATCTCCATTTTCTGAATCTACAATTCAAAACACAAACCACATTGGACACTGTCAAAAGTAACATAAGTATAGGACAAACATGGTTACAACATGTAAACGACATAGATATAGAGTAACCAATTTATATACTAAAAAATATGAGAGCAAGAGTAGAATGCTATAATCCAACCACCATTATAAAAAAGAGAGGCAGTCCTGTATTTAATCCACATCAAAGGCTAGCAAGGGGGGCAGAATATTTTAAACAGCTACTCAACCCTTATAATGAGGTAGAAAACATCGGTTTTGTGCCTAAAAGAAGTGACCAACATGAAGCAAACTTTTTTAACATCAGAAGTAAAAGCCCGTTTACAGAAGAGCCTCTCCGGAGAAAGTAGAAGGGTGAACCCAAAACCAGTGACAGATGGGAGTAAGACAATCACTGAAGACATGAAGAAAGCAGAACATTTCAATCATTATTTTGCCTCGGTTAACAGAGCAGGTAAGCTGTCAGAACTCGATAGAACACAGCTCTCTCAGTTGAAGAAACAAGAGAGAGCTCCAACAGCCAGCGACTCCCTTTTTGAAAATGAATTTAGCATGGATGAATTAGAGCAAGCCCTGAAGAAATTAAAACCTAGAAAATCTCCAGGCCCAGATAAGATCCACAACGAAATGCTGCTACATCTTGGCCGGTCTGGGAGAGAAGTAGTTCTCAGGCTTATTAATAAAACTTGGAGGTCAAGCAAACTTCCAAGGGCATGGAGGAATGCATATATCGTCCCCATCCTTAAAACCAAAAAGCCTCCAGATGACCCCAAAAGCTACCGCTCGATATCCTTAACATCATGCTTGGGCAAAGTTGCAGAAAGAATGATAAACAGGCGCTTATATTGGTTCCTTGAGAGTTCTGGTGCTCTATGCCATGAACAGGCAGGCTTCAGAACCAACAGCTGCACAGAAGACCAGCTGTTCAGACTGACACAAAGAATACATGATGGCTTCCAGAATAAGAAACACACAGTGGCAGTCTTTGTCGACCTTCAGCAGGCCTATGACAGAGTATGGAGAAAAGGTCTCCTGATGAAGATGATGAGCATAGGAATACATGGCAGATTGTATAACTGGGTGAAATACTTCCTGATAGATAGAACAATCCAGACTAAGATGCACAACGCAATCTCTTCTAAAGAAGTCTTGGAGGAGGGCTTGCCACAAGGCTCATCATTGAGCTGTACACTATTCCTAATCTTTATCAATGACCTGCCAGAACAAATCAAGGCTGAAAAAGCCTTGTACGCTGATGACCTAGCAATATGGCAGAGTCATGAAAATGTGGAAAGTGGAGCCCAAAGACTGAATGGAGACCTTAGAAGACTGCATGATTACTGCCAAAGATGGAAACTCAAGATTAACTGTGCAAAGACGGTCTACACAATCTTTACCAAAAGCCACCAAGTAGCAAGGAAGAATATTAACCTGAGGTTAGACAAACACCAAGTGATGAAAGAAGAGCATCCCACATACCTTGGAGTCACACTTGACCCGCAGCTCAGCCTCAAGAACCATATTGAAAACATCAGGAATAAGGCATTGAGGCGGTTACAGTTATTAAAGAGACTTGCAGGTACATCATGGGGATCAGACAAGGAAACTCTGAGGGGCTTATACCTAGGATATGTTCGCTCTGTGATAGAGTACAACAACTCACTGCTTACAACTTGTTCCAAAACTAACCTAGAGACTCTTGACAGAGTACAAAATAATGCCCTCCGATTAATCTGCGGAGCTATGCAGTCTACACCAACTGCTGCATGTGAAATCCATACAAATGTGGAACCCCTCGGGTTGCGGAGAGAAAAAGCCACTTTAGAAATTTATGAAAGATGCGTTAGGAAAAATCGTAACCATCCTAATAGACATCTTGTAGAAAACTGGGAATCCAAACAAAGAATAAAGCACAAATCGGTTTTACACTGTGTTAATGAAATTCAGGACAGATACCACCTCCCAGAAAGACGTCAAGGAATTCAGAATGTTGCAAAAAACCTACCACCACATGCTCGCTTTAAAGCTCCAGAAGTCCAAACTAAATTGGTAGGCGAGGAAACCAAACAGTCCGACCCAATCGCCCTTATGAACTCATCACTAAAGACCGTTGATTCTTACCCCCAAGAATGGATACATGTCTATACTGAAGGATCAGCATTTAAAGCTACCATTATACGGAATCTACATAGGTTATCCCGATGGATCTGTTGAAGAGATTTTTGATGCATGCGGGGAATTCTGTTCAAACTATGAAGCTGAAATAATTGCACTGGAAACAGCCGTATACCACCTAAAGACTGTAATGGATGTTTACCCCTCAAAGGTCCAAAATATTGTCATCTTCACAGATTCAATGTCTGCCCTTCAAGCTCTGGAGGGCAATGAACGCTGCAGAACTGACATAGCCAAGATAATCCTGGATGCCGATCAGCTTATTACCTCATACAACATCAGAATAGTGATGCAGTGGATTCCAGGTCACTCCGGCACACCAGGTAATGACAGAGCTGACAGATTGGCAAAGAAAGGAGCAACACAAGAACAACCACCTACAGCGACAACCCTCCAGACAGCAAAAACACTGATAAGAGCTATAAACAAAGAGACTTGGTTGAACAGATGGGCCATGGGAGACACTGGAAGAGAGGTTTATAGACATATGTCTGGCCCTGATCCTAATGACAGCATTAACCATCTAACAAGAAGGGACCAGGCCACCATCTTCAGACTTAGAACGCAACATACTCCACTCAATGGACACCTAAACAGAATACAGCCACAACACTCCCCAGAGTGCCAGCTATGTAACTACCCCTACGAAACTGTTGAACACCATCTCTTTGAGTGCCCAAAACTCAGTGAGACAAGAAGAACGCTACTCCCTCCGAGACCAGACAAGTGGAACACCTTGTACGGAGGAAAAGAACAGCCTGTGAAAACATGCAAATTCCACTACATGGCATTGGGCCAAAGGGCGAAAGCTCATGCGCCGCTGGATCGATAACAACAACAACAACAACAGAAGAGCCCTAAAAACAAAGCACCTGGTCTAGATGGAATAACTACAGAAGCTGTTCAAGCATATGGCCAAACTGGCATCAAATGGATAACAAGAATTTTCAGTACAGCTTTGGAAGAAAGGAAAGTTCCTCTTGACTGGCAGCAGGCATTGATAATAGCTGTTTGGAAAAGAAAAGGTAATACAAGAGACTGTGCATCGTACAGAGGTATATCACTTTTGAGCCACATAGGAAAAATATATGCTAAATTATTAGAATAGAGATAGACATATAGTGAAATAACACCTAAGTACATCACAGTTTGGTTTCAGTAAATGAAAAGGTTGCACAGATGCATTATTTACAATTAGACAAGTTTGTGAGAAAACCATTGAATATGGCGATGAAATAAATATTGTCTTTGTAGATCAAGAAAAAGCTTTTGAGTCGATAGAAACAAACTATGGGCTATTTTTGAGGATTATGGGATACAAGATCTTAGTAAGATCAACGAATTACTCTTTGCAGATGACCAGG